CCCCCCCCCCCCCCCTCTTAGAACCAGAGTCTTTAAGCTTAACTAAAACTGGGATCAGTAGAGATTTCACAACAGAAACCCCAATTCACATTTTGATTTATCTACCTATAGATTTGTAGGTAACAGTGCCATCAGATATGTTCCGCAGTTCCTCCAATGTCAAATACGCCCGCTTCTTTTCCCCTTCCTTATTTCGAATTTGGGTGTGAACCTATAACCGAACAAATTAGATCAAATTATTAGCTTATGAGAACCATGACTCCATTTGCTTGGTGATTAATGCATCTGCAATACTATGTACTCTTTATATTGTATTTTACATTTTCAGTTTTTTATACAGAACAATGCAACAAGATTCAGAAAATAAAGTAACATTTAAGTTTTTAAATGATGTCAATAAAGAGAAATCTTTTTGCAAGCAAAAATTAATGTCTTTTAAGGATAATAGAATCTCACTCAACCAGTAAATCTATGGGACGCCCGCACACAGCACGTGGAAAACATACTCCTTCCATCCCATTATAGTGTTCCCACTTTGACTTCAGAGACATTAAGAAAAGTGTTGGAAAAGTAAAAAAGTGTGTGGTTAAAATTTGTTTATAAGTGAAATATTCTGGACTATATATTCTTCTTCTAAAAATCGAAAGAGCAGAAGTGGAAAAAATATTTTGGGATGGATGAAAAAGGAAAGTACGGAAGCTACTATGGGACGGAGGGAGTATATATTGTGTCAAGACTATTGTTGTGTAGAGCTAACCTGCTTTATTCTCCCAGTAAGGTCAATCATGCGACCTTGAATTTCCATAAAAGCCTGTTTTATTTAATAAATAAAAACCGGGCTTGTTAACATAATATTAGAAAAATACCAATGAACGAACTGCAAAAACAAAAAACTTGAAATTAACTCTACTTACACTTTTGTTTGCTTCATCAGCCATTTTCAAGTCCGTCTCTAGTCTGCTTCATTAATTTATACTTCATATTAGAAACTATAAAATTTATAAATAATGTAAATGCAATTTTTTAGAAAAAAATGTCAACGTAACTTTTTATACAGTCATTAGTTAATTAGTATACTAAAATACATCTGTAAAGTTGTTTTGGAAAACAACTTATATAAAGTTTTGTGAATTGAAGTTCCATGCAATGAAAACAAATTTGAGGTCAGGGTATACAATAAAACTAATGCAATCAAACAGAAATACTACGTAATGCACTGTTTTAACAATTAAATAGCTTCCGAATTCACATTTTTAGTGTTGTCACCAGTTCGGTGCATTGTGAGAGAGAATTTGAAACTTTTGACACAAAGTATAAGACTGTGAACTGTATGAAACAAATTCCCTCACAAATGCCCAGAACTTATGGAAAAAATGCATAGGATCAAAATGCATACTATCACAAGTAAATACCAAATGCATATTTTAGATTATGATCAATAGAGATATATGCAATGAAATAAATAAAGGCTTATATAGACAAAATTTCTAACATTAAATGAGGTTTCATTTTTATTTATAGTGTCCATATCTATTTTTGAGTCGTTTTACTAAGTCATCCATAACCATTAAGAAAAGAATTGTAGACCAAACATACATCATAGTGACAATTACCTCACAAACAATTTTGTATAAGGAATAGTATGTCAATAAGCTGTCGTGTATATTCAACAGAATGAAAAAATCCATTAAGCATGAAAAAAGACACGATAAAAAACCACACACGTATGGTTGTAAAACAATTTTCCAACAGTAACTTGAAAGTAAATTGATTATGACACAAAAAGCTAACTACCTTATTTAGTAAAAACTTAAGTTAAGAATAAGCCTAACATAAAATTTAACATTTTAACCAATCAACATAAACTGAGGATAATGTCAATATGTCGTGTGTGTGACCAAAGGAGAGAGAGGAAGTTGTTTTAACATCTAATAGGCACCACTCCATGGATAAGTTCTTTTTTAAATATGCATAGACTTCAGTGCATATTTCAAATAGACTCTGAACTTATGTTTGCAATCTTACAAATAGTTGATGCATTTAATTTGTGTAACGTGAACATTAAGATTTTTCGATATGAAAAAATGTATAGGGTGATAATATGTTCACTTAAGGTCAATTATTACATATAACATACTCGTATCAAATAAGTCATATGTTTGTAATACTTCCTACTCCCTCCGTCCCTAAATAAAGTTCCTCTTTCGTTTTCTCTTTGTCCCTAAATAAAATTCTCTTTTCCCTTAAAAAACCCCTTTTACCCCTTACTTTTTCATACCCTACCTATCACATCATACCTTTTTACTAATAATCTACCTATCACATCTTACTTTAACGCATCACATCAAGGATATTTTTGGAAAGTCAACACCAAAATATCCCTCCCTTAAATCCTCAAAAAGTCAAAAATGGAAGTTTATTTAGGGACGGAGGGAGTATGAGAAAACTGTTTTATAAAACTTTATAAAAAGAAGCATTTAACAAAAATATACTCTCAAAATTTATATGATGTAGAATTTTAAAAATACTTTCATTTTTTCACTTTTTATCATTTTTCAACTTAATATATTAAATTAACTATATTTTGCAATTTTTACTGTAAGGGCCAAACTGCAAAAGTGCATCGAAAATTAAGATGCATATACCTTAATGTGATAAATACCCCTAATATTGTTAGAAAAAATTGAAAATGCCATATTACTAATTGAAAAACTATGTTGCACGGATTCTCGAAATAGGTGCCGCTTCCCGTTCCCGTTCGGGTACTTGGGGGCGTCCCCACACCCATATTCCATATAAATTATGAAAAAAATTGTTGGGATTCCTCCAAGTCCCACACCGGATGTTTAGGAGTAAATGAACCAAAATATATAGGTTCACCCAACCCCATTAGCAGTGGCGGATCGAGGAAATTTTTTCGCTGGGGGCGTTAAGTAAATTAAAGTGAAAAAAATTAAATTTAAAAACAAGAGACAATTAAATAGATAAAACATAATTCTTACCATTAAAATTAAATTAAAAAAAAGGTACAATTAAATAGATAAAACATACATCTTAGAATTGTTCTCTTAGTGTTTTCAACATTTGAAAGCGATGGATTATATCTTCATTTGTAACATTTAAAAACGCTTCCTTTTCCACAGCACAAATCACACAAGCATTCAAAAACTCATCCCTGTTTAAAAAATCTTCATTTGGGACTTCACATGTTGAGGGGGACTTCTGTTTAAAAAACTTCTCCATTATCTAAAAATATAAAATGAAATAAACTTTTTTACTAAATCTATGTCCAAAAATTAGAGAAAATTATTTAAATATATCAATTGAGAATTAATATATTTTTAGAGACTAGAGTCATTAATTCATATGTTTTGGGACAATTATAAATTATAATTAATAATAATCAACATAATAAACAATTTCATTTTATAGAAAATTGAAATATAAAAACAAATTATCTAAAAAGTTTCACACATTACACAATACACATAAATCTAATTTTCAGATTTATCTAATTATTTAGTTAATAATTTAAAAAGGAAAGAAATTATTTGGAAATACCTGAAATTTGTCCAATTGTGCAATAGTGGATCGAAGGATTGAAGCTGTGGCGGACTGGCGGCGACGCGGCGGACGGGCGACGGCGGTGCTCGACTGTCGACTGCTCGGTGCTCCTGTTCGGACTTCGGCGCTTCAGTTGCTCGGATAGTCGGCTCTGCTTCTCGGTTTCTGCAAAACCAAAGGGAAGGGGAAGAGGATAATTTTAAGAAAGTATATTTAATTATTTTTGGAAATTTGGACAATATGGCCGGCGGATTTTTTTTTAATTGAGGGCAATTATATTTAAGGATTAAAAATACACACACATATAATATATATATATATATATACTCCCTCCGTCCCACTGTCTTTGTTCACTTACTTTTTGGCACACCATCCAATGTACTTCTTTAATCCATTTTATCTTGTAATTTGTATATTAAAAAATTATAGAAATTATATATTAATAATCTATATGTTAAGACAAATCAAACAAGATCACACATGACTATATTTAGGCTTACACATTGAGAGAATTTGATGAGTCAAAGTGTTTAGATGAACAGTTCCAAAAGTCAAAAGTGGACAAAGACAGTGGGACGGAGGTAGTATAAATTCACTGGGGCAGCTGCCCCTATATCTTATAGAGTAGATCCGCCCATGCCCATTAGTTTGAGGCCTTTTTGGGAGGTGCCCAAAAACAAATCCGTGAGGATAGGGGTGGACACGGTTCGGTTCTGGGATGGTTTCGGTTCCGGGACGGTTCCGGTACCGCCACCCCTTGGTACCGGTATCGTGACCGGACCGGCCGGTACCGGTTCTGGTACCCGAACCGGCGGTTCAGATACCGGACCAGCCACCCCCAATTTTATTTTTCTTTTTTTTTTGCTTTTTTATTAAATTTTTAAAGTGTAAAAATCGTAAATGTGCAATTGTTAAAAAAAATGAAATAAAAAAATTTAAAAATGCAATTGATAAAGGAAAGAATGAAATAAAAAAATCTAAAAATGTAGTTGTTATTTAAATATTGTAAATCAAAAAAATAACAGTACCGGTACCGGTACCGGTACCGCCGGTACCGAAAAATGGGTACCGGAACCGGTACTTAAGGGGGCGGTTCCAGTACCGGTTCCCGAAACCGGTGCAACGTCCCGGCTGGCGGTGACAGTGGCGGGTACCAGCGGTACCATTTCCGGTCACGGTACCGTACATGTACCATGTCCCCTACGTAGAGCCTCTGTTCATCCTTCAATTCGACAAGTCTTTTCCCAAGATCGCACTTGCAACCACCACATTCGCATCGTGGGTCGGGAAGCACTGAGTCGATCTCGTCCCACAATCCACGCAAGCGTGTGTAATAAGCCGAAACCGAGGACCCATCTTGGCGTGTCAGGGTGATTGCTTGTTTTAACTCATACATTCTCGGTGCGCTCTCTTTCCCAAACCGTTCATTGAGATCGTCCCAAATTTCCTTCGTCGTGGTTGCGTATTTCACGCTTCCGCGGATGTCCTTCTCCATAGCAGTGGTAAGCCAGCCCTTGATCATTGGATCGCAACACATCCAAGGCATGTATTTGTCGTCGGTTTTCTCCGGTTTCTCCAAAGTCCCATCGACGAACCCAATCTTGTTCTTGGCGAACAAGAAATTTGTCATTTCTTGCACCCAATCGTTGAAGTTGTTGTCGGTTAATGCTTCGTTAACTTGGAGTTGCTTGGGATAATCTGAAGGGTGAAGGTAGAAGGGGGAGCTCGGGTCGATAGACCCATTACAGGATCCTTCCCCCCGTTTTTTCCACCCACCATTGGTTCGGTGTTCAAATGATCTTAATTGTGATCAACCTGCTCTGATACCATGAAGAAAAGGTACTCAGAGAGAATTATTGATCATACTTATTTTTATTGATGAAGAAGCATGAGTTTAAATACAGGGAATACAGGAATATAAGAAGTTGAAAACCTAAAAATAGAAAAACAGAAAGCCCAAGAGATAAGATTGACAATATCCACTCCAATATTGACAAGATTGACTAAAATATGTCGACTAATTTCAAAGTGCCTTTTAACACATTTAGACTGTAATTATGTCGAACTTTAGTTTATCGACGTATATCGACTCTAATTATGTCCACATGTGTCGATCTCCCTGCAGCTATGTTTAATTATATTATCCTAAATGTAACTATTATATGAATGTGTACTTATGTGAGAAGCACTTTTTTTACCGACGAGTAACAACAAACAGAAGACAACAAAGAAATCTAGATGCAAACAATTGGCAGTGCATGAGACACCGACGAACAACGGCAGACAATGAGAGGCGACAGAGTATGTTCGATGAACACTAGGTAACGCAAGCGACGATTGAATTAGAAAACGATGAAAAAAGGGGTGCCACCGTAACGAGAATAATGAATATGTCTGCTAGGGTAGAAACGCCCGATAAGAATGGCGGGGTGCCGCAACGGTCTAATAACGATAACAACTAGGGAGAGAAGGATAAAAGAGTACTTTCATTTTCAAAGAAAGGATAGGTTAACAAAAAGAGATGTTTTACCTTCAATACCGAATGGTAAGAGAAACTTTTTTAAAAAGCACCCTACACCATACCCATCTCGTCCATCTTCCTTAATCTCCCCCACCCTTCCCTCTACCATTATCGCACCACCCAACCCCCACATACCCCTCCTCTATCTCATTCACCCTACGCACCAACCCCATCTTCACTAACCCACTTCCACCCCTAACCAAATACTCCCTCCCTCCCAATTAAATCACATGTTTATGATGCTTGATTGAAATGATTTCAAGACAATTTATTTGAAAATTAATGTGGAATTAAAAATAAGATTTATATACTTAAAAATATACACAAAAAATCTACAAACAAGAGATGACAAAAATATAGTATTATTTTAACAAATAGGGTAAAGAACGTGATTAAAGCTTGACTAAATTCAAAAAGCATTCTTTAAATCACACAACTCATAACCATAACCATTCAACAGATTTGCATATGATTTTATGCATAACAACAGACCTCTTGTTTACCACTTTGTATTAGCAACTATGAGCCATGAAAACCGTTTGCTGCCATGGTAAAAAGCTATGGAAGAAACATAGGAAATACAACGCAACGAAACCTCTAAATCCATTTTTGTAACGCATGAAATTCTTCTTAAAAGTAGTCTATAGACTTGATAAAAAAGGGGTCAGTAGTCATCTCACAGAAACCCCATCTCATAGCAACCCCATTTCACAACTGTATAACCAGAGAAGTGCTGTAGTTCCTCCAATGTCAAATATGGCTGCTCTTTTCCCCTCTCCTTGTTTCGCAATCCGGTCTAAACCTACAATAGAACAAATTAGAGTGAAATATTAGCTTATGAAAGCCGGGGCTCCATTTTTCTATTGATTCATGCATCGACAAAACTTTCCATAATTTTTTTATATTTACAAGGGTCTAATGGAGACAACTTTTCCAGTTCTCTATTTACTACAAGGGTACAGAGTGCAGTTGTGTTCTTGTATTTGCTTTTTTTTTGCCTAGAGAACATTGCAATATGATTCAAAAATTAAAGAACATAAGGTTTGTTTTTGCCCCCCCGGTTTTCTTTTTGATTTACTAAGAGAGACCTTTTGTCATTTGAAAATTATTGAATGCACTTGAAGGACAATAAAAACGATACTCAACAAGAAAGATTATACACACAAAGCGCATGTATTTATTTCATGTAGAGCTAACCTTCTTAAA